TTGGGAGGAGTCCTTCCCTTTCAGTTGTTTTTGAATAGCTTGACAAGAATTGGAGTTAGTTTTTCTTTAAATTTCTGGTAGTGAATGCAGTGAAGCCACCCAGTCCTGGGATTTTCTATATTGGGAGAGTCTTTATTACTGATTCAATTTCTGTATTGGTTATCAGTCTGTTTAGGTTTCCTGTGTCTTCATGGCTCAATTTAAGTGGGTTGTATATGTCTAGGAATCTATTCATTTCTTCTAGGTTTCTCTGTTGTTGTCATACAGCTCTTTGTAATAATTCCTAATGATTTTTTTTAATTTCTGTGATATCTGTTCTTAACAGTTCCTTTTTTCATTTCTGATTTTATTAATTTGAGTGTCCTCCTTTTTTTCTTTGGTTAGTTGGGCCAATGATGTATCAATTTTGTTTATTTTTTCAAAAAACCAATTCTTCATTTGGCTGATCTGTTGTATTTTTTTGTTTCAGTTTCATTTATTTCTTCTCTAATTTTAATTATTTCTTCTACTAATTTTGACTTTGGTTTGTTGTTGTTTTTCTGGGTCCTTGAGATGCATTGTTGCTCATTTATTTGGTGCCCTTCCAATTTCTTGATGTATGTACCAATTGCTATAAATTTTCCTCTTAACACTGCTTTTGCTTTATCCCATAAGTTTTGATATGCTATATTGTTGTATTCATTTGTTTCCAGAAAAATGTTTTATTTCTTCTATAATCCACTGTTCATTCAGATGTATGTTGTTCAGTCTCCATGTATTTGCATATATTATAGAAATTCTTCAGTTGTTGATTTCCTCTTCATTCCATTGTGCTCAGAGAAGATGCATGGTATGGTTTTAATTTTTTTTTTTTTTGCATTTGCTGAGACTTGCTTTATGGCCTAGCATGTATCTATCCTAGATAAAGTTCCATGTACTGGTGCAATAAATGTGTATTCTGCAACTGTAGGATGAAAAGTTCTGTAGGTATATCCATTAGGTCTATTTGATCTATAGTGTTGATTACCTCTGTTGTTTCCTTGCTAATTTTCTGTCTAGTTGATCTGTCCATTGCTGAAAGTGGGGTATTGAGGTTCCCCATTACTATTGTTTTGGAGTATAGGTTTCTAGTCCTGTCTACTTCTTGCACCCCTGAAGAAAACAGCAAATATTGCCCAAAGCCTAAGCCCAGGCTGACTTCCTAGATGCTCAGCAACCCCACCAGTGTCCTGTGGGAGCCATACAAATCCCCCAAGCATATCCTAATTATACCTATCAAAAAAGTTATGAGGATTAAGGGTGCTGAAAATCTGTGGTTAATTATTTCATGGCTTGGGTGAAAAAAAGTATTATGAAAGTCATAAATCATGACAAAATCATAGAGGTAATACAACACAGGGAACAGAATCCAGCCTTATTCCAGGATTGGTTGCTAAAAGCTTTGAAAACATACTAAAATAGGGGCCAGTGCTGTGGTGTGGTAGTTTAAACCTCCACCTGTGGTGCCGGCATCCCATATAGGGGCTGGTTTGAGTCCTGGCCACTCCTCATCCAACCCAGCTTCCTCCTAATGACCTGGAAAACAGTGTAAGGTGGCGTAAGTGCTTGGGCCCCTTCATCTATATGGGAAACCCAGAAAAAACTTCTGGCTCCTGGCTTCAGAGAGGCCCAGCTCCAGGCATTGCACCCATTTGGGGAATGAACTAGCAAATAGAAGATATCCCTCTCTGTCTCTCTCTTGCTCTGTTGGTAACTCTGCCTCTAAAATAAATCAATAAATAGTTTTTTAAAAAGAGATGCTAAAGTAGACCTTGCCTGATTCCTATTCCCAGTTATTTTTTTAAAAAAAATACAAATAAGAAAAAACTTGTATTTACCTCCATTTTACCAATTCCAACTTTTTTTTTTTTCATTTCTTTGAGTAGACAGATTCAAGTTACTCTCTGATATATCTGTTTACTCTAAAAAAATCCTTTAATGGTTTTATAGTGAAAGTTTTCTGGTAATGAATTCTCTATTTTTGCTTGCATAAAAATATTTATTTCTCCTTTATTTTTCAGTAGTGTATTAATTTGGCACCAATTTCTTGGTTTTGTTATTTTTTTGCTTTTTCCTCTCAGTACCTGAAAAATGTCCGCTTGTTGTTCACTGGCTTGGATATATTTTAGTAAGAAGTATGCTTCCATTTTTATATTTATTTTTCTGTATATGATGTCTTTTTTTGGGGGGGCGCCTTCAAGATTTTATTTTTATTTTTTTCATTCATTTATTTATTTGAAGGCATAGTGAAAGAGAGAGAGAGAGAGGGAGATCTTCCATTCATTGATACACTCCCCAAATGACCACATTGGCATAGACTGGGAAAGGCTGAAGCCAGGATCCAGAAGCTTCATCCAATCTCCCACATGGGCTCAGGGGCCCAAGCACCTGGGCCATCAACTGCTGTTTCCCAGACACATTAGCAGGGTACTGGATTGGAAGTGGAGAAGCCAGGACACGAACTGTCACCCATATAAGCAGCTTAACCTAGTGCACTATAGTGCAGGCCCCTAAGCTTAGATCTTTAACAATTTGAATATAATATGCCTAGATCTTTCTTTTTTTCTTTTTCCCTTCCTTCCTTCCTTCTTTCCTCCCTCTTTCTTTTCAATATATATTCTGGGTGTTCTCTGAGGTTCTAGGATCTGTGATTCAAAGTGCTTTAAAATAAAAAAAAGTTTAGAAATATAGAGTTAATGGTAGGTAAGTATTTTTTTGCTCTACTTGTATTTTTATGCTAGCACACAGATTATAATTTGTATATCTGAGATAGGACTGCCCACTAGAACATAGGGTTTTTTTTATTCTTTAGACAAGTGAACCAGCAGTTACCTAAAGATTGAAGGCCATAAGAAAACAGAGAGAGATTTTGTTTTAAAATGTACCTGGAATTTGTTTCAATCTGATATAGTAAAGCACATGGACATGGCAATGACAGATATGAAAGAAGTTTTGTATTCACTATTCCCTAGCAAAACGAAGCACAGCAATGTGGGCACCCCCATGTGGAAGCAAGGCAGAGGGAGACAGGAGAGTGGAGAGACAAGAGCCTTTATTGTTTTCACAGGAAGGAATGGACAAGGCAGATAAACAGCCCAAGCAGTTTTAGGATTGTGTAGTTAAATCACTTCAGCAGGTATGGGCAGAGGGGCCATTCTGAGTTGTCTGGCACCTTACCCCAGGGTGCAGGCAGGAGAATATTGGCTTAGAGTATAAGTGCTCTGTGGCTGGGGAGAGGAACTTTGGATTGGTTAGCTTGTATTTGAAAGGCACACTCAGGTAAGTTGTTGGCTCTATCTAGGAAGTAACTAACCTTGAAAAGGGCGGGCCCTCACAGGTCAGCAAGAGCTCAAATATCAGAGCTTCAGGAATGCAGAAAACAAGAAAATAATGTTAACACAGTCCACCTTCAGTATCTGCATGGGATTGGTTCCAGGACCAACACCACACCCCCCATACATACACATACACTCAAAAATCAGAGGATGTTCAAGCCCCTTATATGAATGGCACAGTGTTTATATACAACCTACATTCTCCAGTATTTTTTGTCATTTCTAGATTATTTATTATACCAAATACATTGTAAATGCTATGCAAATTATTGTTAATGTATAATTCAAGGAATAATTCAGGAAAAAGTCTATGTACTTAGTACAAATGCGACTTTTCTTTTCCCAATATTTTCAATCTGCAAATGGTTGAGTTCAAGGGTATAAAACCCATGTAGGTGGAGGGCCAACTGTCTAGGTTTACAATGGGAATTATTTCTACTCATCCCCAATCATGCACCCAAGCGTAAATCTGAGAATTTCTTCATAGTCATCGTATAGGGAAGACAATCTCAGAAACAGAGTGACTAGGCTTTGCAATTCTTTCATAGGATAATGAAGAAGCTCAAATAATATTGTTGACAAGATGGATAGGGTCCCCCAGCAGGATTTATTCCAAAGTTCTTGCCTGAGCATACTGATGCAGGTGTCAGACGTTCTAGCCATTCTGGTTCATGTCTCATGCCCATGAAGAATGAGAACATGGCCCAAAAAGGGCAATCAAAGTGGATTGAAACAAAAGAAAAGCTCTCAGAGCACAGCAAGAGGGGCTCCTGGGCAGGAATAAATTGAGAAGTGGAGGTCTGGTAGGGCTATGGGGAAGTTTTTCACAGGGACCTTTCAAGCAGTGATTTATGTCCAGCTGTTGTCTCCACCCTTCTGTAATCTCATCCTATGTCCTCATCTCTCATTACTCCCCTCTCACTAGTCTCTGGCCCCAGGTCCTTATATCTCATTCCTCACAGCTCTTTAACTTCCAGTCTCAGGCCCCATCTTCAGTTCCAAGACCTTGCATTTACACAGCACATTGTTTTTCACATAGGCCTGTTTGCCCCTTACTTACTACTTTCTGTCTAACAATATAGGATGAATTCAAAGCAGAGACTCAGACAAGTGCAAGAATGGGAGTAACATTTATTAAAGAGATTAAAGAGATAACACACTGAGAAGTGAACACATGCAGTCTCATGAGGACAATCACACCCACCCGCCTTAGTTTGTTCACCCCTTTATTAAGTAGGGGATGGTGCCCTAATTGAATATGCAAATAACATGGAGTTTGTGCGGGGTTCAGTGCACGTGATGATTTTTTTTTTTACATTTGAAATTTTTTTTTTATATTTTTTTTGACAGGCAGAGTGGACAGTGAGAGAGAGGCAGAGAGAAAGGTCTTCCTTTGCCGTTGGTTCACCCTCCAATGGCCGGCACACCACGCTGATCCGATGGCAGGAGCCAGGTACTTCTCCTGGTCTCCCATGGGGTGCAGGGCCCAAGCACTTGGGCCATCCTCCACTGCACTCCCTGGCCACAGCAGAGAGCTGGCCTGGAAGAGGGGCAACCGGGACAGAATCCGGTGCTCCGACCGGGACTAGAACCCGGTGTGCCGGTGCCGCAAGTGGGAGGATTAGCCTAGTGAGCCGCAGCGCCGGCTACATTTGAAATTTTAAGGTCAGTTTATTAAGTTCAATGATGAAAGCTATCAGAAGAAAATTCTCCTGAAAATTATTTTTTCTTAGAAAAAAAGAAAGGAAAATCAAAACCCTCTCAGCTAAGCCACAGATGCTGTGGCAGTCAAGCCTCTCTGCAGAAGGGGATAGTCCATTAGTGGGTTGAGTCACTTCCTGGGTCAGCAGGATTGAGGTCTGGATCATCATCATCATCCTCCAGCTCCAAGTCACCCATTTCCTGGAACAAAGACTCATCTACTTCCACACTGTTGCCAGCATCCTCCAAGAACTGGATATCAGATGTGTCAAGATTATGATCTGTTTCAAACAGCTGTTTCCCACTTGATTTATTTTTTCCTGCTTGTTCTTCTTCTTTCATTCGTTTCTTTTTAATTTCCAAGAGTTCTGCATCAAACTTGGCCTTCCAACTTAAGAAATTCTCAATTGTAATAGGTGCGCCATGGAATATTTGCTTTTCAGCTTCTTCGGCTTCTTTTTTCTTTTGTTTCTTTTCTTCCTCTCTTCTAGTTTTTATCTGATCTACTATTTCATTTAATTTTTCTTGCACAGCTGTCACTAGAGTAAAGATCATCACCATGCCAAGATTTTCTTCAGCCTGTAATGCTAATAATTTTAAAATGTCTGATACATCATTATCTTCTAGATTTTCCTGGGAGAATATTTCATAAAGAGGAATGTCATCTGGGTATTTTTCACTGTGTGTAAACTTGAGGGTAGTCTGGACAGTTTCATCTTTCTCTCCTGCCTCAGATGTCACAGTAATGGTGAAGCTGGGTGGCTTTTCTGATAATACTGTGAAGGAGTCAGTGTAGATGGATTCCAGGGCCTCCAGCTCCTTACGCTGTTCCTCGCGGTAATCTGTCATCCTGGCTCTCGCGGCGGCCGCCCATGGATCTCGCAAACACCCAGGCGGTGCGCTGCAGGCGAGAGCGCGGCCGAGCACGTGATGATTTCTTATGAGGATTCATGGCATCTGCGTGTGGAATGCGCCTCACATGTGTCCATCTTGGTGTCCTCATGATGGAAAAGGCTCAGGTGCATCACTGGATGGTGGGTGTGCTGAACAGGCATGGGAGAGGGCTGAGTTTTCTAGCGGTACAGGGCTAAGGCACAAACACTGCTGGAAGACTCTCCATTCCTTTGTCCCTCTCTTACTCCCTAACTAGCCCATAGCATAGTGAGTATTTATTGTAAGGTGATGAAGTATCTCACAAAACTGAAGCAAAGCAGAAGCTCTTAGGAATATCAGTTAGAATATAGGACACCATGGAGGCCAGAGCATAATCTCTCTTGGTGGGCATTGTAGTACAGTAGTTTAAGTGGCTTGCAATGCCCACATCCTGTGTTAGAGTGCCTAGGATCAGGTTCTGCCTCTGCTTCCAATTCAGCTTCCTTCTAATGCACACTCTGGGAAGGCAGACATAATGGTTTAAGTAACTTGGGCCCCTGCCACCAATGTAAGAGATCCAAATAGAGTTTCTGGCTCCTGGCTTTGGTCCAGCCCAGCTATCACTGTTGCCAGCATTTGGGTATGAACCAGTGAATGAATGATATCTTTTTCTCTCTCTCTCCCATAAATATATATAACATATAATTTTTACCTTCTCTGATCATTGGCTACTCCCCACAAACAACATTTTTTTGAGTTAAGAGTGTTCCAATATCTGAAATGCCCTCAGTGGGCTCAATTAGTAGAATCATTTTGTCAATAACCCCACATCCACTTGACTTTTGACTCTGTGTCTAGAAATACAAGTTTTGTTACAGGTCAGCCAACAAACTGACACTCACTGGCATAGAAAAATCCCTGGTCTAATCAGTAATGGGAAAAGACTTATGTCTGTTGTAGGACAACATAAACAATCCTGACTAATATAGCCAAAAATTATATCTAGTAAATGGAACCAAATGAATACTATTAAATCTGTCTAATCATCCTTCAGTTCTAAAGAGGCCAGAGGAGATATTTATGTAATATCTTTGCCTTATTGTGTTACTGAATCTTGATCTCTGTCCCTGGTGCCAAATCAAAATAATAAGGAAAAGGTCTGAGGGCAAAATAAAGAGGAAGTTTTAATCTGTCAACAAATGAAGGGGTAGCAGACATTGAGTATCAAGAACTACTGCCTGCTAAATGAGGGTGCTTTAGGGTTTCTAATGAAGCTGCCAAGAAGGGGAGTCATTTGCAACAAAATGGAGGAATCTGGAAAACATCATGCTGAGTGAAATAAGCCAGTCCCAAAGGGACAAATATCCTATGTTCACCCTGATTGGTGACAACTAACTGAGCTCCTAAAAGGAAACCTGTTGAAGGGAAATGGACACTATGAGAAACAGTGTCTTGATCAGACCTTGTCCTGACTGTCGAGGAACAACTTACTATTTTATTCTTTTTAGTATTTTTTTGTTCTACTTAATACCATTGGTTTAATTAACACACAATTATTCTTAGGTGTTTAAATTTAACTGAAAAGTGATCCCTATTAAATATAAGAGTGGGAATAAGAGAGAGAGGAGATGTACAGTTCAGCACATGCTCAGTCAGACTTACCCCTAATGGTAAAGTTAGAAACGTGCTAGGGGATTCCAATTCAATCTCATCAAGGTGGCATGTACCAATGCCATCTCACTAGTCAAAAGCAATCAGTTTCAGTTCATAATTGATCATAATGATAGGATTAAGTGTCAAAGGGATCACGTAAACAAGATTAATGTCTGCTAATACTAACTGATAGAATAAAAAAGGGAGAGAACAATCCAACATAGGAAGTGGGATACACAGCAGACACATAGAATGGCAAATGCCTAAACAGCACTCTGGCCTCAGAATCAGGCCTTAAGGCATTCGGATCTGGCTAAACAGCCATGAGAAAGCATGGAAAGCCAAGCTACTGTGGCAAAAAAAAAAAATATATGAACTAAATGAAAGATCTCTGTGAGTGAGATCCCAGCAGAAAGAATGGGCCATCAAAGAAGGAGGTACCTTTCTATGAACGAAGGTGAGAACTTCATAGAACTATGGCCTTGTCTAAATAAGATCAGAGTTGGCGAATTCAAGAGGCTTCCATAGCCTTGGAAGCTCATGACAAGAGCCTAGGGTGATTACTACGTCATAAATAAGAGTGTCAATTGTTAAGTCAACAACAGGAGTCACTGTGCACTTACTCCCCATGTAGGATCTCTGTCCTTAATGTGTTGTACAATGTGAATTAATGGTAAAACTACTTCTCAAACAGTACTCTATACTTTGTGTGTCTGTGTGGGTGCAAACTGTTGAAATCTTTACTTAGTAAACACTAAGTAGATCTTCTGTATATAAAAATAATATAATTGAAAATGAATCTTGAAGGCTGGCGCCGTGGCTCAATAGGCTAATCCTCCACCTACGGCGCTGGCACACCAGGTTCTAGTCCCGATTGGGGCGCCGGATTCTGGCCTCTTCCAGGCCAGCTCTCTGCTATGGCCAGGAGTGCAGTGGAGGATGGCCCAAGTCCATGGGCCCTGCACCGCATGGGAGACCAGAAGAAGCACCTGGCTCCTGGCTTCGGATCAGCACGATGCACCAGCTGCAGCGTGCCGGCCGTGCCGGCCATTGGAGGGTGAACCAACGGCAAAGGAAGACCTTTCTCTCTGTCTCTCTCTCTCTCACTGTCCACTCTGCCTGTCAAAAAAAAAGGAAAGAAAATGAATCTTGATGAAGAATGGGATGGGAGAGGGAGCGGGAGATGGGATGGTTGCAGGTGGGAGGGAGGTTATGGGGGGAAAAAGCCACTATAATCCAAAAGTTGTACTTTGGAAATTTATATTTATTAAATAAAAGTTAAAAAAAGAAGGAACTGGGATAGGTACAGTTGTAGTTAGCCTTGGTTGAGGTGATAAAGAGCTGGTTAGAGTTTCAGTGGTTACCTGCTCCTGTTGTATGTTCACTTGGTGTCCAAGTTTCTGTTTGGTCAGAACATTGTGTTACTCAAGGACTGTTTATGATGCCCAAGTGGGCTTCATCCAGGCTAGGAGCTCCATGTGGGTAGTAGTTACTTTCTACCCTAGACCAGAGAATCCCCTCCCCAGACATGGAATTTTCCATAACAAAACCCATCAAGACAATACTAGCCACCAAAGTCTGATCTACTGGAGAAAAAGAAATGACCTCGTGAATACAGCGGATCTTTGGCCATTCAAAGATCAACAAACATGGGATGGCCAAAGATTTATCAGTTGTTCCCTGGTCTTTTCAGAGCAGGGGCATAAGGTAGCCCACTACTGTTGTTATGAATAAAATGTTGGTATAATGCTATAAAGCATGTACCTAAGCAAATTCTAACACTTTTGTTGCTCTATATAGAAGAGGTCAAGTTCTGAGATGGTATTAGGGCTGAGTCCCATCCATTGGCAAAAATCTCTCCATTTCCCAGCTTATATTTTGTCCAGAAATTATTACAAAAGAAAATAAGCTTTTTCTTAATTATACCATTCAGTTTAAGAGTTTGCAAATTATTAAGCATGCATCTTAGGAGTATCCATGGGTATAGATGCAGAGTTGCCCATAGCTGAGTCTCTTTATAACCTGGGAAAATAAAAGGTAGAAAGGGCTCAACTAAACCCAGTTATGCTTAAATATGTAACTCACATCCCCAGTATTAGATGAGATCTGGTGTCCCAAGATCACTTTTTTGCAACCCAATGTGGGGTTCTCTGTTCCAGTCCACCTCAGGGGCTCTGTGCAGGTTGACCTAAATCTGGGGCATTACCAATACATGTATATATTTAGGGCATTGCATATTGGTAATTTTAACCAATGAGCCAATTTTAACCAATGAGCCATCACCTGTTACCTCCCATGGTGTGCTATAGCAGGAAGCTTAACTCAGATATAGTCAGGACTGGAATTCAGGCCCTTCAATAGGAGTTGAGGGCATCTCAAGCAATATCTTTAGGGCATTGCATATTGGTAATTTTAACCACTGAGCCAATTTTAACCAATGAGCCATCACCCGTTACCTCCCATGGTGTGCTATAGCCGGAAGCTTAACTCAGATACAGTCAGGACTGGAATTCAGGCCCTTCAATAGGAGTTGAGGGCATCTCAAGCAATATCTTAATTGCTTGAGATTTTAACCACTGCACCTAGGATATCTGACCACCATAGGGCACTACTATTGCTAAAGTTCCAGTAAACCAGAGGAGGAAGCATTTGATTCATCATTACTTGAGGCGTTTGGTACCTCAAATATTTCTGGGAGACAAAACCACCCCACTAGTGCTTTCAACCTCTAGGGACATTGAACTTCAAACCAGGTGTCTATGCTCCAAGATTATAGCAGCCTTCAGAATGTGTTTGAAGCTGAAGCCAGTTTTCAGAGTTCGGTTTGAACTCTGAAGCTCCAGTGTGCCAAATATTTCTGGGGGCTTGCACTGCCACACCTAGTGCCCTTTACCCTAGGAAGAATAGAACTCCATGTGCTTGAAGATGGTACTTGAAGGTGGTGCCTGCACTGTGCTGAGAAGCCAGTTGTTGGTCTCTATTATGAGGTAGGGTGTGGTGACTCTACTGGCATGAGGCCACCTGGGAATTATATGGCACCTCTATGAGTTCTATGTGGGGCTCAATATCCATACATTTTCATGGCATCCCCCTTAGGTCCCAGATGAAGCAGATGTACCCTGAGAAAGGGACTGTTTTGATTGACAAGTAAGAAGATAGAATTACATGGGGGCTCATGACTTCCAGCTTAGCTGACCTATCTAACTGCCTAGCTATCCCACATCACTACCACTCCTAAAAGGTAACCTCCAACTAGTGCAGCTCTGAATCAGTGAGTCGGAAGCAATAGAATCAGTCCAGTGATTCAGTGCCACATAAGATAAGCTCTGGAGTAGGTAATTTAGTGGTCTGAAATAAAGCAGAACATTTCTGTTTGTCTATTTATA